TAGATATATATATATTCAAAAAGAAGACACAAAGAGGCCAGTGGCGGCCAGACTTCTATCATCAAAAAACATGAGACCAGGCGAAAAAGTTAAGAGGAAACCCTGCAAAAATGTGAAGTTGTGTGTGGGATAACATCCAGTTAATGCAGACAGTTAAAGTGAACCAATACTCAAACATCAGTCTAAAGCTATGCTATCAGTCTTGCTGATATGGATAAATAAAGAGAAACAGATGAGCTGAAATATTTACTTTTCCAGTACAAAAAGTAACCCAGAACACTTACCTTCTAGTCAGCAAAAAAACACGTCTAAACTGATTTAGCCATTTGCTTTTAAAACGGAGGCCTTAGTTGTATCTTTGTTGAGGTGCCACACCAAGGCACCTCAACAAAGTGTGGTCCCTAACCCTAGTCTAATATAGGTACAGGTAAGTGTGCTTGGGTAGTTTTTGTATTGTATTAGCCAGTACAGCTACATGTAGCCAGTACTGTTCATTTCAGTACTGGCTACATGTGTAAATGTCTACTCTGACACTTACAGTTATTATAGATAAAAAATATCACTGGCGCCAAAAAACGTGATAGCTCCCAAAAACAGCTCCAAACACTCGGGGGCAGCTCCTCACAGTCTGGGAAAACTGGATGTCTAATAGAAACAAAGCAAAAGGAGTGCCTCCATAGTATAAAACTGTTTTAATATAGGTTAAAATACAGCTGAAAATGTACTTACAAACGGCTGATGAAAACACGCATTGAAAGTGATAATCTCGAGTAAATCAAGATGGACAAACGAAAACGGATCAGAGGTTCTTACGAAAGGGGTTCGACCTCTGAAACGCGTCAACTGGAGGAGGACTAGTGTACAGATGGCTTCGGCTTAGCACTAGTACTTCTGATTTCTCACTTCGTTTTCGTTTGTCCATCTTGATTTACTCGAGATTATCACTTTCAATGCGTGTTTTCATCAGCTGTTTGTAAGTACATTTTCAGCTGTACTTACAGTTATTTGATTTCTGCTGAAGAGGAGACTCAATGTACAGTTTGGATGATCCTCTTTAGCTGAAATCATGTGACTACTTGGGCCCTGGTCTTCAGACATGTGACCAGCACTGAAGTGAACCTAGAGCAGCATTTTCTCAAGAGTGGTCCGTATTTATGCCTTTCTGTTATTTCACTTATCCATGCCAACCACTTTGTTGGCATAGCTTAATACTAATACTGTATGTTAGTATTGGTCTACTTGTAAAGTAGTTGCTTTTTAATTACTTGTAACACTAAATACAAAAGACCTGGTAGATTTCTAAATCAAATTAAACATATTAACAAATAATAAATAATTGAACCTACCTAGTGGATATATGAGTTTAGTACTAAATAAACAAAGTGAAATATAATAATTTACATACTATACTAATTATGAACAAAGGCAGGTGACTTTGTATGAGCATCCTTGTACAGCTTGCGAAAAGTTCACCAGTGCTTTTTAAAGAGTGTCCCTGCTCATGAGCATGCATGTCCACACAGATGCATATTAGTTGTGAAGAATGAGACGGCAAACTATACATTTTCTAAATTCCCAAATACTGTATATGCAGATTTGTCCAGCCTACAGAACATCGTACAATTCATGAATCATTGCCTGAATTTCCAAATGTCATTTTCCAGATATCAGACAGATCTGTATTTAAATATTCAGTGAGTTGAAAATTTGCATATTGCTGATAAATCATTTTAATTTTGTGGTTTACAGCACAAAGATAGTCATTGTTAATTGGTGGCCTAGCCTTCCTACATAAGTGCAGAAACTGTATTATTGAATTTAATTGTGATAGCGAATAGCAGTTAAATTGATGTCTGTGTGCGTTGTAGATTAGCTTCATTGAATCTCACTGTGTATATACTATCTATCACGCCTAGCCATCCACACTGCTGATTATTATTATTATACAGGTTTTATGTAGCGCCAACAGTTTGCACAGCGCTTCATAATATAAGGAAGACATTACAATCAGTCTATTGTGACCTTGAGCCTCACTGTTTGCCCTTTAAACTCAAACTGATTTTGCCTTTGAACTGTGTTTTGAAATTGATGTGTATGCGTTCTGTTAGTGACCAAGGTCATTTCACTAGTAAAGCCCCTGCTTTAAAGTAAAGGGCCACAGGAAACTGCAGGATGCATAGTTCCAGTACCTGCATCCAGACATTCAACAGGGTTCCCCATGAATCTTAAAATCTGAGGTGGAGTGTCAAGCAAAATCAAAATCTCTGTATAGTCGGCCTCTTCCTGCTTTTCTGTCTCCGTACGCCCTTCCCAGGGTCAGGTAATCACTGACAATTAGATCAAATGTTCAGATTTTCTCTTACCTCACAGATATCTTTCAAGTGCTTGATATAATGTCTTTCTGTGCTCATGATTTCATTAATGACATTGGCTCTCATCTGATCCCGGTTCTGGAGGGTTCTGCCAATACATAGGCAGTCGGAACTTGGGTCCAAATGCCCATTTTGCACTTCGCTGGTGCCCTCCTCCACTCCATCTTCCTGATTTACCCAGAGCTGCAAAACAAAGCAAACGTCTTTAGAAAGAGAACATTGTGTCTTAATCAGTAATTGATTTGAGAATAGCACAATGT